AAAAAAAAAAAAAAAAAAAAGATATTAAATACTTGCTAAACAAATGAATGAATGAGTTCTACAGGGTTTATGCACTAAAGAACACTGTCTTTTCTTTTGATCTAAAATCCAGCTACAAAGCAATGCATATCCCAGTCAATCATTCCATCCCTTCCGGCCCTCCCTCAAGCCTTTACCTGCTGAGGGTGATGACTGGGGCATCACCAGGTGTGCTCCAGGTGGAAAACGGACCCCGGGGCCAGGTAACATTGGCCATCAGGAGGACATTGGGGAGCGGCAGGGAGGGCACCGAGGAGGTCACCCCAAGGATCACGGTGGCAGACCCTTCACAGACATCTCTCCAGTTCCCGGGCTTAGTGACCTGGAAATCAGCCTCAGGTGCGTGGGTCAGAAAGGAGCAGAAAACAAGGGGTGGAAGGATACAGATGCTGGAAAGCAGCACTTCATCTTAGGGGCAGGTGTGCAGCACACTGAGCTGGGCCCTGACCTGCTATTGACCCTTTTTGTTGGTCTCCCCAAATATACTTTAAGGTCCTTGGCTGCAGGAACCCTATATTATCCTTCTCTGGGTCCTCTGTTTTATCTAACTGTAAAAAGATGCACTAGCAAGAAAAAGCTGAGTGGCATTGAAGTTTTCATTCCCCCATCTTTGGGTAGGAGAAGCCAGCACTGGTTTCTAATGGCCCAAAAGGGAGATTGTGTGAAGAAAGTCCCAGAAGGGGAGGAAAGTGAGGAAAAAGCTGTTGAATAGGGAAGACCCAGACAGCTTGAGTTGAGGGAGGTTTGGAGCACTTCTCCCAGGATGATGGAGGGGCTATCTTGTTGCTGGGTCTTGAATGGAATGAGGATCTATTCTCTTGAAGCAGAAGGGGGCCATCACAGGACAGAGATACTGGATGCCCACCACTGGGCACAATGTCTCAGCTAAGACACCCCCCACCTCACTATGCACGGCTGGCAGAAAAGCACAAGAACTGGGGCCACTAAGGAGCCACGGGGACCCAGGTAAGGAACATATGAGGAGGGACCCCTGTGTTCCCAAGGCCAGAGGGCCTTCTCCCAATGCTCTACACCTTTTTTAGAAAATAGAGATGGGGTCTCACTATGTTGCCCAGACTGGTGTCAAACTCCTGGGCTCAAGTGATCTTCCCCTCTCAGCCTCCCAAAGTGCTGAGATTACAGGCATGAGCCACTAAGTCCAGTCAATGTTCTAGACTTTGTAAAACCATCGACACCACTGCCCAGTCCTTGGTGGAACTGGGGACAAGGGAAAGCCCCAGGAATGACTGAAATGTAATTTCCCACCAGCCTGACCAGATGGTGTTCCCAGAAAAGTGAATTTTGATTTTGAAAAAAAAAAGTGACACTTCCTGGAGCCCATGTTGAGGAATAAAATTCATGTCCTCTGCAAAACACAGAGGGTTGTACGTATTGAGAGTAAGTGCTCAATAAATATTTGTGGGTGATGCTGCTTTGAGACGATAGTGATGGCGATGTGCAGGAAAGGGGAGAGAGGAAGCAGTGTAACTCCACTACAACAACTAAAACTATAACTAATACGTGGATTGCATCACTTCAAGTAAACTTTGGACTGTGTGCGGTCATTCACGCCTATAATCCCAGCACTTTGGAAGTCCAAAGCGGGAGTATCACTTGAAGCCAGGAGTTCAAGACCAGCCTGGGCTACATGGTGAGACCCTGTCTCTATCAAAAAAATTTTTTTTTTAATCAAACTTTGAACTTTTCTGTGGGGGTCAGCCTCTCCCTAGCACATTCTGAGTTTGTTGCTACCTGGGTCACTTAGTGTCCATTCAGAGAATCTAAACAGTTTTAATATTAGGCCAAAAAAATAGCACTTTGGGAGGCCACGTCGGGCGGATCATGAGGTCAAGAGATTGAGACCATCTTGGCCAACATGGTGAAACCCTGTCTCTACTAAAACAAAAAAAATTAGCTGGGCAACGTGGTATACGCCTGTAGTCCTAGCTACTCGGGAGGCTGAGATAGGAGAATTGCTTGAACCCGGGAGGCAGAGGTTGCAGTGAGCCTAGATCGCACCAGGGCAACGGAGTGAGACTCCATCTCAAAAAAAAAAAAAAAAAAAAAAAAAAGCACACATTAAGAGAACAAATTTGCAGCCGAATCATGAATCATTACACCCAAATAGAAATGACTAGAAATTGGACCCTGAGACTGGACTTCCCATGTTACTGCTCTGTCTCCACCAAGGGTATGTTAGGAATGAGCTCGCCCCAGGTTTGCCAGTTGATCACCCAAGTACACATCTCCCGGGGGGCAGCAAAGGGACTGTGGAGCGGCAGGAGCCATGAACACAGCTCTCCAGAATCCGGGGACTCCATTAGAGAGTAGCTCACTGCTCTGTGAAGAATCTCCAAATTAAGCCCAAGACCCACCTCAAACTGTTTCCACCTTCTCTCCTATAACCCCTGGCTGCTTTCCCACTCCATTTGAATGGGTCTGTGTCTTGCAGACCTTGCATTCCAGCCTCCCTGCCTTTCCTTAGGTACTTTGAAGCCCCTCTGTCTGAGATATCCTCCCCGCTGTTCTTCCACTTACCAGAATCTCAGCAGTCTCTCAAAGAATGGCTTAAGACCCTTCTGGAAAGCCTTCTTCAACTGCCAAAGTCCAGAGAGAATGCCCTGAATGCCCCCAGCACATGCCTGGGGCATCAGCTGGACCAAACTCTCTGACATAGAGCTTGCTTAGACAGTTACCAAATAACGGGTAAACCAAACTCATAGGCTTCCTGACCAGGGACACTGATCTTTCTCTGCACCTCCTGCCCTGCACTCAGTGATGTTTAGTGTGTGCTTACTGGCTGACCAACTGGTTATGCTCTCCCGCGCAGGAGCACGGGTTCAGGCTAGACCGCTAGAGGGAGGCAGGCAGCACCCGCCTAAGACTTGATACTTATGAAAACGACCACCTTCCACTCCCAGTGGTCCCATCCCAGGCTCACTTCCATTGGTCACCACCATCCTTTTAGGGAATGGTAGGATCTGGGCAAGACCTTTTTACCCAGTGTCTTCGCTTTCAAACAAGGCTGTTTCTAAACCATCCCAGAGTGAGGAGGTTGGATTTCAGAGCAGGGTTTCTAACAGCAACCTTCATTCCCTGTAACTACCCAGTTTGGACAAGTGGCCCAGAAAGGGCCTATGAACCCTGCCTGGAGACTGAGCTCTGATCTCTCCTTTTGTAAGGCATAAATCAATTTCCTTAAAGCAGATGACCTGCAGGTAGCTCTATCATATGGTAGGCACAAATGGAGGTGAACTTGGGACCCAGACCTTTTGGTTTTCTCTAGCTTTGGTGGCTTCTTTGTCCCTCCTCCCCCACCTCCAGGGCTTTAAAAGGCCACAGCATCTCCTAACCAACCCCTAGGAACAGGTTTTGGAAACAGAAAGACAGCTGGCCCTGAGCTGCATGAGGGTACCTGGATAAAGTTGCTTTCAAACACCACCGAGTTGGAGAACAAGTTGAATTCTGGAGAATGAATCAGTTGACAAAGAAGGCCATTTTCCACCCCAAGTTCCACTCCAGGGCCTGGTTCCCTGACCTCAGGTGGGAGGCCCCTGATTTTACTCATTGGTTCTTGGGAAGAATGGGCTGGGGAACATTTCTGAGGCTCCACGCAGACCCAGCCCAACGCCGAGATGTTGATGTGATCTGCCCCCACCTTCCCAGCTCTTCCTCCCCATTTACTTATGGTCTGTCCACCAGGGCTGGGAGGGCCTGTCAGCTCACAATGGCAGGAATGACATCAAGGAATGTGATGGTGACAACAGAAAAGGGAAAAAAAAGAAGAGGAGAGGAAGGACGAGGATGTGCCGGGCTCGTTTCTCCCTCTTTCCACCAACTACAAACCAGCAGTAATTCAGCCTATCCCATTTTGTAAACATTCACCCTTACCCCAGACGGGGTAATTGACCCTCCCAAAGTTATGCCAAGGCAGCAGTTAGCTGGCCAGATGCAAGGAAGGCTCTTGGGAATACACAGGCTTTAATCCTCTTGCCTCCCAGTGAAGCCTCTCACCAAACTTCCATGTGACTTGTTCACCCACCCAGGGAAGTCTAAGGATAGGAGAAAGGGAGTTCATCTTCCCTGCCCCATCTCATGGGAGAAAAGGAGATTTTTTAAAAAAAGAAATGGACACCTGTTAACTAAACAAAGAAGCTTATTTGGAAACAACAGGCAAAGGAGAAGGCAGTGGCACAGTTGTATGCTGGAGCCAGACCACAACAGGTCACGAGAGCTAGTTGTTGCATTTTCAGGCATGTTACAAGCCAGTTGTTAAACACAGCAATTATTAAAACTTGGCTTTTTGTTTTTTGTTTTTTGTTTCTTTTTTGTTTTTTGAGACGGAGTTTCGCTCTTGTTGCCCAGGCTGGAGTGCAGTAGTGTGACCTCGGCTCACCACAACCTCCGCCTCCCGAGTTCAAGCGATTCCCTACCTCAGCCTCCTGAGTAGATGGGATTACAGGCATGTGCCACCACACCCGGCTAATTTTATATTTTTAGTAGAGACAGGGTTTCTCCATGTTGGTCAGGCTGGTCTGGAACTCCTGACCTCAGGTGATCTGCCTACCTTGGCCTCCCAAAGTGCTGGGATTACAGGCGAAATATGGTGAAACCTGTCTCTACTAAAAAATACAAAAATCAGCCAGGTGCGGTGGTGCATGCCTGTAGCCCCAGCCACTTGGGAGCCTGAAGCAGGAGAATCACTTGGACTCAGGAGGCAGAGGTTGCAGTGAGCCGAGATCATGCCACTGCACTGCAGCCTGGGTGACAGAGTGAGACTCCATCTCCAAAAAATGAAAATAAAATAAAAAAAATTAAAATAAATAAAGGTGAAGTAAGCTGGGTGCCATGGTGAATCCCTATAGTTCCAGCTATTTGGGAAGCTGAGGTGGAAGGATTGCTTGAGTCCAAGAGTTCAAGTCCCACCTGGCCTGGGCACCATATTGAGATTCCTATCTCTAAAAAAAAAGAAATTTTTGAGGTGAACTAAAGAATTTTTCAGCCAGGTATGGTGGCTCGCGCCTGTAATCCTAGCACTTTGGGAGGCCAAGGTAGGTGGATCACAAGGTCAGGGGTTCGAGACCAGCCTGACCAACATGGTGAAACCCCATCTCTACTAAAAATACAAAAATTAGCTGGGTGTGGTGGCATATGCCTGTAATTCCAGCTACTCAGGAGGCTGAGGCAGGAGAATCGCTTGAACCCGGGAGGCAGAGGTTGTGGTGAGCTGAACTTGCGCCACAGCACTCCAGCCTGGGCGACAGAATGAGACTCCGTCTCAAAAAAAAAAAAAAAAAAAAAAAGAATTTTTCAGACAAACAAAAGCTGAGAAAAATTGTTTCCAGTAGACCTGAACTACGAGAAACAGTAGGAGTTCTTCAGGAGGAAGAAAAACACCACCAGATGGCAGCTTAGATCTACACTGACATAACGACTAATGGCACTATTTTTTTTTTCACCTTGCTCTTTTCTTTTTAACATATTTTTTGATACTTTTTTAAGGATAGTCTTTCTATGGCACTAGTGAGACATTTTTAAAAGCCCTTTGTAATTTTAAGCCATTGATGTTTTGAGATTATTACCTCAACTTAACCTAGCTAATCCTGACCGGTAACAAGAAAAAATTCTTAGAAGTAGAATTGCTATATGAAAGGATGTATATGAGTTGGGTGTGGTGGCTTATGCCTGTAGTCCCAGCACTTTGGGAGGCTGAGGCGAGATAATGATTGAGTCCAGGAGTTTGAGACCAGCCCGGGCAACACAGTGAAACTCCATCTCTGCAAAAAATACAAAAAATTAGTCAGGCATGGTGGCACACGCCTTTGGTCCCAGCTTCTCAAGAGGTTGAGGTGGGAGGATCACTTGAGCCTGGGAGGCAGAGGTTGCAGTGAGCCAAGATCATGTCACTCCACTCCAACCTCGGTAACAGAGTGAGACCCTGTCTCAAAACAAATAAATAATTTTTTTCAAAAAAGAGTGTATATGCTGATGGGTACTACTGTGATGCACTTCATAACAAGTATACAAATTTAAATTTCCACCAACAATGGTTGAGAGTTTGTGCTTCTCATAAATCCACCATCTCAGTATGTCATCAAGCTTTTGAACTTATCAGGCTGAAAGTTTTTTAAATGATATCTCAACGTAATTTTAATTGGGTATCTTTTCATTTCTTTCATTGGTTTTTATTCCATGAATTTTTAATTCATAACATTTGTCAATTTTTCTATTAGGCTATTGGTCTTTTTCTTATCTATCTTATAGGCAATCTTTTTATATTGGAAAGACCGAGTTGTGATTTTTTTCCTAGTTTTTTACTTGTCTTTGAATATGTTTACTGTGTTTTTGCCTTGTGGAATTTCTTTCGGTAGTTAAATTTATCAATATTTTCATTTATGGCTTTTGGATTTTTATATGATATTTTGATAAAGTTTCCCCATTCCAAAAGGTATACAATCATTTCTCCATGATTTCCTGAACTACTTTTACGGTTGTTATCTTTCTGTTTAAGCCTTTAATCCATCTAGATTTTTTCCTGGTGTGTGATGTAAAGTCTAGAACCAATGTATTTGTATTTGCCCAGATGGCTATCAATAGTCCAGTGTCACTTATTGTAGAGTATGTTACATCTTTCACCACTGATTTGAGATTCATTCATTTAACAAATATTTATCAAGTATCTACTATATATGGTAGGCACTTTCCTAGATGCTTGGGATAGAGCAGTGAACAAAATAAAAAGGCTACATTTATGCGAGGGGATTCCAACAATTAAAAAAATACGATAAATAATTATATAGTGTGTTAGGAGGTGGTAAGTGCTATAGAAAGAAAAGAAGAACAGGATAAGGGGGACCAGGAAAGTTGGGGATGGATGTGGTGGAAGGTTGTGCTATTAAATAGGGTGGTCTGTTTAAGCCTCATTGAGATTCATGAGGACAATGCCACCTTTCTAATAATCAAAAGTCTTAACTATAATGGGCCAATTTCAGAATTTATTTTACATTGCTTTGATCTGTCTATCCACATGCTAGTACTACACAATTTTAAATATTGAGGATTTATAGTATTTCCAAACTTTATCAGGTTAGTTTGAAGGAAATAATGTTTTCTTTTTTCTTTTCTTTCCACAGGTGTTGATCTCATGAAGGAGATAATTTTTAAGGTATGAAATTTGAATTTTTTTTCTTTTGGGGCACGGTGGCTCACTACTGTCATCCCAGCACTTTGGGAGGCCAAGGTGGGTGGATCACCTGAGGTCAGGGGTTCAAAACCAGCCTGGTCAACATGGTGAAATTCTGTCTCTACTAAAAATACAAAATAGCTGGGCATGGTGGCACAGGCCTGTAATCCCAGCTACGCTTAGGAGAATTGCTTGAAGCCAGGAGGCGGAGGTTGCAGTGAGCCGAGATGGTGCCACTGTACTCCAGCCTGGGCAACAGAGTAAGACTCTGTCCCAAAAAAACATGTTTGCAGCAATAGAAGTAATTGTTTGCAATTGGTTCCTATTTCTGACTGGATAAAACTCATAGTAGCAAAAAGACTTTCACAATAACAGCTCCTGAAAAGTTGGTCATAAAATAAATTACTAATTTTAAATTCATAAAAGAAATACCTGACTATAATTGCCAAACATGCAGGTATCAACAGTACTAATGTACTAATGTCCTTGTACAACTGACCTGTATCAGACTGCCTCATTTTATAAATTAGGATTCTCTCATATTCTACAATTTCCAAATACATTATCAATTTTTTCATTGTTTTTGAAATCAGAAGAATTTTTAACATGACTTTAAAAGTATTTAAGGCATTTATATCTTCAAATGTTACAGAATTATTATTATTAAAAACAAACATAAAATAAAGTAAAAAGGAAATTAATAACATTAATATCCACATCTAATCACTGGGATTAGAAATTCACCGTGCAGGCCAGGTGCGACAGCTCATGCCTGTAATCCCAGCACTTTGGGAGGCCAAGGCAGGTGGATCACTTGAGGTCAGAAGTTCAAGACCAGCTTGACCAACATGGTGAAACCCTGTTTCTACTAAAAATACAAAAATTAGCCAGGCATGGTGGTCCACACCTGTAGTCCCAGCTACTTGGGAGGCGAAGGCATGAGAATTGCTTGAACCCGGAGGCAAAGTGCATTAGTCTGTTTTCACACTGCTGATAAAGACATACCTAAGACGGGATAATTTACAAAGGAAAGAGGTTTAATTGAACTTACAGTTCCACGTGGCTGGGGAAGCCTCACAATCATGGCAGATGGCAAGGAGGAGCAAGTCACATCTTAAATGGATGGCAGCAGGCAAAGAGAGAGAGTTTGTGTGGGGAAACTCCTCTCTTTAAAACCATCAGATCTCATGAGACTTATTCACTATCATGAGAACAGTACAGAAAAGACTTGCCCCCATCATTCAATGACCTCCTACCAGGTCCCTCCCACAATGCATAGGAATTCAGGATGAGATCTGGATGGGGACACGGCCAAATCATATCATTCCACCCCCGGCCCCTCCCAAATCTCATGATCTCACATTTCAAAACCAATCATGCCTTCCCAAAAGTCCCCCAAAGTCTTAACTCATTTCAGCATTAACTCAAAAGTCCTCAGTCCAAAGTCTCGTCTGAGACAAGGCAAGTCCCTTCCACCTATGAGCCTGTAAAATCAAAAGCAGGTTAGTTACTTCCTGGATACAATGGGGGTACAGGCATTGGATAAATACATCCATTCCAAATGAGAGAAATTGGCCAAAACAAATGGGCTACAGGCCCCATGCAAGTCCAAAATCCAGCGGGGCAGTCAAATCTTAGAGCTCCAAAATGATCTCCTTTGATGCCATGTCTCACATCCAGGTCATGCTGATGCAAGAGGTAGGTTCCCATGGTCTTGGGCAGCTCTGTCACTGTGACTTTGCAGGGTACAGTCTCCCTCCTGGCTATTTTCACAGGCTGGCATTGAGTGTCTGTGACTTTTCCAGCCGCATGGTGCAAGCTGTCGGT